TACAACCTCGTACCCATACTAGCTAGTGATCATTATGTCGTACAATTTACCCCTCAATATGTGTATGATTGTGTCATTTTTATTTCTGACGTTGATAATACCAGGTTCACATAGGTCATAGCCCAAAGGGGAAAATCGACATCTACTTACAGCCTTTGATTGAAGAGCTTCAAATGTTATGAGAGATGGTGTGTTTACATATAACATGTTATGAATCAAAATTTTCAACTAAGAGTGGCTTTTATGTGGACAATTATTGATTTCTTGGATCATGAGATGCTAGCTGGTTGGAGCATAGCCGGGAAATTGGCTTGTTCTTATTGCATGTATATGTCAAAGGCATTTTTACTCTGAATTATGGTAGGAAAAACAACTGGTTTGGCAGCACCAAATATTTCTTCACTGTGATCACCCATTTAGAAGAAACAGAGATGCATTCTTCAAAAATAGGGTTGAGAGATCAAGTCCACTCCCAGGATTATTGGACTTGAAATATTGTAGATGATCATTAAAGTGTTGAAGATCGTCGAAAGACTATAGCTAGCTTCGACTCATATTCCTGATTTCGGTGTCACACGCAAGTGGACTAGGCACAATATACTTTGTGATCTTCTGTTAGGTAAGATTAATCTGATTAGATATAATCTCAATATTATGCACATTGAGAAAAATTTTTTTGATAACATCTTCAACACTGTGATAGATATCAAGGGCAAGACAAAAGATAATGTGAATGCTATAATGGACCTAAAAGAGTGCTACAAAAGAAGGACATTAGAATTTTAGGAGACAAATGTAGGTAAATTAATAAAGCCCAAAGGGATATCAAGGGCAAGACAAAAGATAATGTGAAAGCTATAATGGACCTAAAAGAGTGCTCAAAAGAAGGACATTAGAATTTCAGGAGACAAATGTAGGTAAATTAATAAAGCCCAAAGCTACATATTATCTTACATCAGATTAACGGAGGACAATTTTTGAGTGGGTGAATTTTCTAAAGTTTCCTAGTGGTCGTGTTTCAAATTTAAGCCACTGTTCTGACTTGGGAACGGGTAAGGTATTTGGCATGAAGAGTCACGACTGTCATATATTTCTGCAGTGCTTATTACCCATTATATTTCATGTGTTGTTGAAGTCGGTGTTTGATCCCATGATCGAAGTTAGTATATTATTCACAGTGTTGTTTGTGGGGACACTGAATGTTGACTTGTGGAGACATCTCAATGCGAGTATTCCTCTATTATTATGTAAGCGTGAGTGAATATTTCCTTCTAGTTTCTTTGACTTTATGGAGCATCTGTCTTAACGTCTATATTATGAGGTTATATTGGGGGTCCAGTGCAGTACAAATGAATGAATCCATTCGAGAGACACATCTTCCTAATGCAAGTAGCATTTAATTTCAAACCTCAAACTAAATGACCACACCTAATACCTTGCAAGTAGCATTTAATTTCAAACTAAATGACCACCATATTCAATGTAAAATATCTATGCTGCACATTTTTAAATAAAATAAAAAAGGGTTAAGAGTAAACACAACTTGAGGGATCAATCTGTGAAGTATATCTGTTGCAGAAGACGATAAATTTCTGCTTAGATTATTTTGAGCAAGGTCATCAAAGAGGTGATAATGTAGGTGACAGACTTTCACAACCAGAATTATCTGTATATCAAATATTAAGTGAGTTATCAAGGAGGTATGATACAAGGTATCTAAGCGATAAAGAAATTCAATTGGCTGCATTGTACGCTCTGATGAACTCCAGCTATTTATACAATATGCTTCAGGGTCCTCAAACTCAATATATACTGTAATTTATTATTGATAATATTAATTATATACTCACTAATTCAAAAATACAAATAACAATATTGTGAGCATGTTATATTTAGACACCTTGGACATGGAAGATGAGTCTCTGATAAGCAGGAAGGTCGAAGCAGAATTTTCAACTTGGTTCAAATTACACGTACGTGGAAGCAACTCTTCTAATCACATGTGCATAATATACTTGTAACTTTTAAAGTAATATTAATACAAATAAAACATCTCAATTTTTTATAGGTTTACAATGCAACCAACAAAATTATGGATCAAAGATTACTAGATCTTTCTTGGGGGACTAATCGCAGTCTTAATATATGACAGATATTTGACGTAGACGGATGTAGATTCCATACGAGTTCATGGTGTGAATGGAAGAAAACATAAAATTGTGGTGTCACTATTAGAGGAAACACACACGAAGATAGTGAGATTATCTATTATAACGTACTCGATGAAGTCATTCAATTGCAATATCCAGGCAATGTCAGCTTCATTGTGTATTTGTTCAATTGTCAGCAGTTCGATGATGTTTTGAATCAACGTACTCGATGCAAATTTGTTTTACTCTTTTAGTGACAATTATTATGCATCTATATGCCTAACACTTAATTATTTATTTTTACATGCTTCTTAACATCACATCAAAAGCACATCATCAATATCTTTTTAAAAGAAAATTACACTTTTTCATGCATAAGTATATGACACCAAGAAGTGATAGATGTAAATATCAAATTGTACTTGTTAGATATGTAAATGTGTAAGAATTGTGTGGTATGGATGGAAAATTCCCTTTAAATAATGAAGTTCAATTAAAATTATTATATTTTAAAAAGTAAAATAATTGTGAAAGGATTTTTTTTAAAATTTCTAAATGATTTCATTGAAAAGAAATTAATAACAGTGAAAAAATAGGACCATTTACATATATATCATACAATATATATATATATATATATATTATTTAAAAAGAATAGTCAGAGGTCATGATACGAGCTCCCAGCCACACTCATGTGTCTTAACCATTCAATCCAGCGCTGCAAGTCAAATTCACTCAAGCGGGATCGAACCCGTGACCCAACGAGACTTGCGCAAATTTACACTATGCGACGAGCATCATATATATATTATATTTAATTCAAGTTTTAGAAATGCTTTTTTTTTTCCCTCAAAATTATTATCAATTCCATAAAATAAATTTGCATAATTGAAATGATATAAAATCACATTATAAGCAGAATAAGCATGAAAATCGCATCTAAATGAATGCATCGCCGTTATTATTAAATTATTTAATTTTAAAATTAAATCAGAAAAATATTCTCAATATTATTTTGTTCCGTTATATAAGAACGCCGACAGCGCCAACGTTGACTGCGGACCGACCCAAACGGACTTTGCTAAAGTCTGTTGACGATAGGCCACGTAACGTATCACGCCAGATAGCTTATTACGCAACATGCTATATTATTATTTTTCTCCCAAAAAAAAAAATAAAAATAATAATTAATTAGCTACGACTAAAGTGGGGCTGGGCCGTCACGTGACAATTTTCCCCACTACCAGTATTATAGTGGGTCCCACACACTTGACAAACCACACGCGTCAGACGTTTGATGAACCGTACAAGTGCCGTCTTGATACAGCGAATCGGTAAATCGGTAAATAATTCTTGGCCTTTGGATGTGCTACAAGATTCGTGCTCCATGAGCGATTATAAACGCTTGCCATTAATTTGGAAATATTATATTTTCTTATTAAATCAATTTAATATGCAAGAATTATTTAGAAATAAAATAAGTAAAATTGCTGAATATTAAATGAAGCAGTCATTTTATAATGTGCTATTAAGAATTAGGCAGTCAAAATCTTCACTTTTATTCAATTGCGTATTAGATGACATGGAACACTAATAATATTTTTAATGCATTTGAATTCAAATATGAAATTAGTGATGGTCAATTATATTATTTTGAGTGATATTATATATGAGATAATTTTAACCTTTTGTATTCACAAAAGCATAAATATCTTTTGTATTTACAAATATATGACATGTCATTAGGATTGTCAAAAAAGCTCGTTGTTCGTGAACAGTTCGTGTTCGGTTCGTGAGGGAGTTCGTGTTTGATTCGTTCGATAAGCAAACGAGACGAACATGAATAAATTTTTTTTTTATTTTCGTTTGGCCAAATATGAACAGTGATGTGTTCGTTCGTGTTCAATTTGTTATTGTTCGAAATATAAAATAATTTAAAATAATTATATATAAAAATTTAGGATATTTAAAAAAAATTATATATTATAAAAAATTATCATATTTAAATAATTAAATCCTATAAATTATAAAATTTAATAAATTATTAATAACAATGATAATATATTAGTATTAGTAATATTAATATAAAAATTATAATATTTTAGTAATTCAAATATTCAAACAAATCTTAATATTTTCGAACTATTCAAACATCTCGAACAAATCAAACGACTCGAATAATTCAAACAATTTGAATAATTCGAACAATTCAAACATTTCAAATAATTCAAACTTATTTCGAATAAATCAAACTGAACGCGAACAACAGCTTTAACGAACAATTTCGAACATGAGCTTATTTTAAACACAATTAATTTCAGACGATCCAAACACAAACACGAGCTATGTTCGGTCATGTTCGGTTCATTTACACCCTTACATGACACATCTAAATTTTTATATTTATATAGATAGCATTTAAAGTGTTTAAAGATTATGTATGAAAATATATATTTTATTTTAAAAAAGTGATAATAATATTACTTTTTTATGTAAAATTAAATATTTAAGTGCTATGTGTACGAATATGAAAATTTAGCAGACATAAGAAATGTGTGCTATTATGCTAACCCAACATAAAAACAAATTGGACCTGAAATTTTTCTAACGGTTTGACGATATTGCCCCTTGAACCTAATAATTAACCACTAACGACCAGGACCCTACGGGGGCACTGACGGAACAGCAGAAAGCGTACGGTGAACGCCGTCTAAATTATTCGCCATGCGCCGATCTCGGATTCAACGGCTATGATTAAGCCAAAATTTTCGGAGAATATTCTGAGGAGATCCCTTTCGAAATTCTCGATTTATATAGAGCAGTTGGAGAGGGACGAGGGCTAGAAAAAAAGTTGAACGCAGAGAAAGGATGAGCGAGGAGCTGAGCAAGGACTACCGCATCGGAGACGAGATCGGTCGCGGCCGCTTCGGAGTCGTCTACCGCTGCTACTCGCCGGATTCTGGCGAGATCTACGCCGTCAAGTCCATCGACAAGTCTGTGCTCGCCGACGACTTTGATTTTGAGTGCGCGGTACGGGAGGCCAAGATTTTGCGGCTTGCTTCCGCTGGAAACCCTCACGTCGTTCAGATCCACGCGGTATACGAGGACGAGGCTGCGATTCACCTTGTGATGGATCTCTGCGAGGGTGGAGATCTCTTTGATCGGATTGCGGCATGTGATGGAGCGCCGATGATGGAGGCGGATGCGGTGGTTGTGATGGCGGCGCTTATGGAAGCGTTGGCGATTTGTCATCGGAGGGGAGTTGCACACCGGGACGTGAAGCCGGATAACGTGCTGTTCGATGGTGAGGGGAGGCTGAGGTTGGCGGACTTTGGATCGGCCGATTGCTTCGGGGATGGAAGGCCGATGATGGGGTTGGTCGGAACTCCGTACTATGTTGCGCCGGAAGTGGTGGCTGGGAAGGATTATGGAGAGAAGGTCGATGTGTGGAGCGCTGGCGTAGTTCTCTACATAATGCTGGGTGGAATCCCGCCGTTCTACGGCGAGACGGCGACGGAGATCTTTGAAGCTGTGATGCGGGGAAATCTCCGATTTCCGACTAGGGTTTTCGGCGGGGTTTCGCCGTTGGCTAAGGACTTGATTCGCCGGATGCTCTGTAAGGACGTTTCCCGCCGCTTCTCCGCCGAGCAAGTTCTCAGTAAGTAATTTTTTATCAAGCGCGCTACCTCGAACTCACTTCCTCTGTTTTCATTGATTTTCCTCAAGTTTTTTGTTCGAGGTTTTTATGTCTATCTTATCGGATTTTTGTTGATGTTTCGATCTGCAATTTTTTTCTACAATCTAGGGCATCCATGGATTACAAGTGGTGTGGAGACGAGATGCGTTGCGGATCAAACCTGAAGGTGGAGAATCAGGCAGAGATAAAAGATGAGATGAAGATAAACAAGAAGAGGAAGATGACTATGGAAAAATCCAAATTAACTAAGAATCCCTTCGATGTAAACATGCTTCACGCTAGCCCCTGCATGCAGGTGCAGCAACATAGCTTTGCTTTCTTTCTTCTTCTTTTTTTCTGTTTTGGCTCCTTGGTCGTTACTCGTTTGGTTGTAGATAAAGTAGTGTAATTACGAGTATCGTTTTGGTCTAAACCTCTGTAAAACCCTACTTTCTAGTGGTCTTGTATCCGTAAAACGGATTATCTTGTGAATAAGATACAGAGTTTCCTTTGTTTTGTTCGTCTTTGTAACTGAAATTTCAAAGACTGCAGTTTGGCTGAATCTAAGAATATACTTCAGTTATGCTCTATCGGTTTTCCCTCTCCTGCTGCTTCCTTTTGAGTCTTCGCATTTTACAATTGCAAGTTACTTGGAGATTCTTCTCATTGCTGATCTCACAACAAAGACTGTAATTTTCTCGGATTTATGCCCAATTTTTCTCTAATTTTTTTTCCTGGTGTTGGAGGATGATGTATTGCTGAGTCTGCAGCACAATTTAGAGCTCTCCCCAAGTGGATATTGACATCTGTGATGTAACTAGAACAATTTGGTGAGATGTTGCTTTATCGAACAAAGCAAATCCACACAATGGTATTCACTTCAACTGAATCCTGCTTCACTAATTTCTCAAACGAGGCCTTAATCATTGAAAAATTTGATTTTTGAGGGATGAACGCAGAGTTGCTGTAAAAGGCTGGGACATAAATAAGGTGATCCAATAAACAGGAAAAAAAATTTAAGTTCAGTTTAACCTGATTATATTTTTTGTATTAGGTTCAGGTCTTTAAGTTCAGGTTAACCTGATTATATTTTTTGTATTAGGTTCAGGTCAAGATTATTTCTTAACCAACACATTTAGTGATTTGGGTCGGTTAAATTTTAATTATTTGGTAAAACTGAAATTATTTCAACAGCTTTATGAGCGTCTCTCTCTGCTAGAGTTTTAAATGGAAAACATATTACCTCCTCAGAAGTGTACTCCAATGGTGGGGTGTCACGTATGCAATGATCCCACCGTGGCGCCACGTGACACTCCACCATTGGAGTACTGATGCATCAGTACTCATGAGGTAATATTTTTTCTTTTAAATGAGCCCGGAATTGAGTGAGCTCAATGCTTACTTATGATTCATTATTATTCGTGTTCGATTTGTCTGAAATTGAAATAAGCTTGCAGTACGCTAACTCGAAATGAACTTGTTTTAGTTTATGTTCAACATAAAATTAATTCAAATGATTCAAAAAATAATGAAATTTATTTTTTAATAATTTATCATGAAATATTAATTTAAAAAATATAATACTAATATTTTATTTAATTATTTAGTTAATTCTATCTAGAACAAGTAGAACTTGATCAAATAAAAATTCATTCATATTTAACTCATTTATATAAATGAATTGAGCTAAAAAAAAAATATTTTTCATGTTTTATGTGCTTGTCTAAGAAACAAAACAAAGTAAACACAATTTTTTTCTTGTAAGCTAGTTTATTTTGATAACTTCATCCTCATTGGAAAACTATTATCCACGGCTCAATTATTCACAAAAAAATATTCCGTTCGGACATTGCATGACCAGACAACCAACCATCAGCCGTCACATCGACATACACGTCATCAACGACATAACCACCAACGGTTGACCATCTGACCACCAGCGGTCAAACCTTCATACACGTCATCAACGATGCAACCGTTGGTGGTTGACCATCCGGACGTGAGGACATAATATTTTGCAGCTGCCTCATGATGGGACCATTAAGGGATGTGTGCTAATAATTTCTCATACCCAAGTGGGCACGGATTTCAATTGGCAATATTATCAAATAGTTGTGGTTAAGCTGTTTTGGTCATGACAACTCTGCAAGACTTTTCTGTGGATTGCACATTACATAATTAGAAAGTGTAAATATATGAACAAAAAACCATTATTGTGGCTTGTGAAGAATGAAGATTGAAACAAAATTGCTCTCACATCTTCTTCTCTGTGCCCTCTATACGCTTTTCAGTGGGTCTTGGAGGCCCTACTCATCGCTTTTTTATTTTTACATATCTATCCATAACATTTATATATTTATAAATCTAACATTAAATTTTATTATTTAATTATATAAGACTCAAGTGTTACAATCTTATTAAAATATAGAATTAAATGATGTGCATATTCTACATATAAAGTTAAAATTGTGGGTGTTACATAACATCAAAATTTAAATATTAAATGTATAAATAATAATAATAATAATCTTTTTATGATTATCTTATTTTAATAAATATGATTTTTTGAAAATAATTTCTCATCATAAAAATTTTAAGAAAAATAATAGGAAATTAATAACCAAATAAATGGGCAATGTGGGGGGTTTCTTTCCTTAAATACTTTGATTCTAATTTATTGGGTAAATTATGTAGAATTTAAAGTAAAAGTATTTGTTATTATGTATTTACATATTTAGCTTCTAAAGTTTGATATTTACACTTATAACGCATTTGAGTGATGTATGAAAAAGGTATTTTATTTTATAAAAGATGAAAATGTTTAGATCTTAGATATATAAATATATAAGAATTATGTGGTGTATATCATATATGTAAATGCCCCCTAAGAAAGATTATAATTTAGCTATATTTCATAAATGTTTGGGTGATATTGTTATAAACGAAAATAGTATATATATATATATATATACATATATATGATGAGTAATATTTTTAAAAAAATTTAATTGACTACAAGGCTACAAAGATTTATAATCAATTAAAAGTATTATTAATTAAGAAAATATAATAAAAAATATTAAATTAGATTCATATGATGTTTTAAATCTTGTCCCAATCCTTAACATTATATGGCTACGTGATTAGGGTTGTCAGAATGACTCTTTGTTCGTGAACGGCTTGCTAAGCAAAGGAGTTGAACACGAATACATTTTTTTAGCTTGAAATATAAACGGGCCGAACACGAGCAGAGCCTCGGCTCACTCGTCTTCCGCCTCTCGTGTTCGGCTCGTTTACACCCCTGCCCATAGTTAATAAATAAAGATGAAACATATTATGATAAATTAACAAAAATCATGTAATATATTAAATATAATAATCATACTTACTTAAGCAAGGAATCTATATTATTATAGAGCAAAAATAGCGAAGCATTTTATGTCTAAGAGGATGGGAATTTTTTTTTTGACTAAATTCAGGCAAAGATGCATTTAATTTTTTTTAGTCAGGCTCCATAGTCCATATAGAACCATGGTTTGCTTTGCTAGTTCTTATGGGTTGCTTGGCAATTTCTAAAAATTAATAAATCATATATATATATATATATATA